TGTTGGGTGGCAGCACAAGGTTTGGGGACATTGGGAGGTGAGGTGAGTGGGCACCTCACGCTGAAACCCAACTGCGGGCATTTCTATGTCTTGTGAACACATGAAATCTCAGAAGACCCTGCTGTTCTGAGCAATTTACAGACAGGAAATTTAGGCCTGGAGATGAACAATGACCTGCCCACAGGCGCATAGCTTGGGCGTGGCAGAAAGGGTCTGGTATCCAGGACTTCTGGTGGAAACCCTGCATGATTCCTAGAAGGTCAAATTCCAGGCCCTCAAGTCAACAAATGGTTTGAACACGCCCTCTTGTGAGCCACAGGCCCTGTTCCTGGAGTGGAGTACCTCTCCTGGCTTTCCTTCTCAAAAACAGACATTCCATCCTTCCACCTCCCTCTTGGCTCAACAGTGGTTGAGACAAACTCGGTGAATTACATCTAAAGCAGCAGAAAATCTACATCAACCCCAATACCTACTTGGTTAATTCCTTGCGTTGAGTTCAGAAAGGTCATTCCTCCAGAGTTTTCAAATTCTCACCCAGATTCAAGATTACACTGCCTACAAGGGCATGTCTTCTTGGGATATAATTTTGAGAGGGTGAGTGGGAATATATGTCGGGGATTCCTGGTTATATGGATCTCCCCCTTGCCTGGAACGCCGCTACTAAAGCCATTCCTTTGTGTCATTTCTCCAGAAGGACGCTGATAATCGAAACACATCAAACAACTTGTCAGCCACGAGTCCCATATTATAGCTATGAGAGTACTTTAAAGTTTATAAACTGATTGAACATCTAAACATGTTTTTGATTCTTATAACAACTATGAAAAGTAGGGCAGCAATTTAAACCTGTCCATGCAAGAGATAAGGACATTGAATGAGGCTCAGAGAGGCAGAGGATTTCATAGCTAATCAGAGCCAATACCTGAACACAGGTCTTTACCTCCAAATTCCATGTACCTCAGATAATGGGCAGTTGCCTTAGAGAACAAAGGCTGATGGGACACAGAACAGGTAGGTTTTGATAGCAAAGTGGAAGGATGAGGGGGAAAGGGTCTGGAGCAGGGGGAGTTGGATGGCAGACCTTGGCTAGAGGAGAGGGCATGAGTCCCCTGGGCATTGACAGTTTGAGCAGGAAGAAGGGTGGCCCGGCCGTGGGGAGGAGGCCGCGAAGGAGGAGTGGGGAGTGAGCTCTGGGGAGTTCTGGTTGGGCCTGTACTAAAGCTTGAGGAGCTGGAGTGGACCTTTCCTTTAGGCTTCCGTCTGCTCTCTGGGCTCTGAGGGCTTTCCAGCTCCCTGCCAATGTCTGCTGCCTGACCCCTGGCCAAGTGTCTTGTGAGCCTGTCAACACTGACCTAGTCATGCTGGCTCGTGACTGTGCTCTTCGTGTGACCACGAATGAGTCAAGAGAGGAAGCAGGCACCCAAGGATTTCCGGGGGATTCCCAGGATGCAGGCCGCTTAGGGCCCTGGGTGAGGGAGGTCTTGGGGTACCTCAGAGGCTGAGGCTTCCCAACACTGAGCTGTAGAGTCACCCTCTTCCCAGAATTTGAGAGCCAGTCAAAATATCCCCAGACCTAACTAGATTCCTCTCCTGCCAAAAGGCACCCGGTAAGGACAAGCACCGAGACCACTCTGGTGGGCAAAGGCCTGGCTCAGTGCCAAGCATTCTGCAGGCATCTGGGGCACAGTGTCCCTATGAAGCCCTGGGAGATCCACTTTCTGGATGAGTAAACAGAGGCTCCATTTCTCCTAGAAGAACACTTAGAGAAGTAACTACAGAAGGATCCCCAAGAGCCCTCCATTTACTGAGACCTACTATCTGCCAGACGTTTTAGTTATTTGTAAATTGAATCAGATTTTGAAAACTACATTTGATACAATTACATATACGTGCTATAAAATAAAAGATAGAACTAGACCAGGAGTTCTTAATCTGGGGTTCATGGGACCCTCAAAGATAGAATTCGAAGGGTCAAAAAATTTGGAAGAGAAAAAATACATCTTTATTTTCACTGACCTCTGTGTGAATATTTTTTTCTTCAACGATGGGGTCACAAATCACAGCCGTATTAGCAGGACCTTGTGATGGTGTCATTGATAAAATTATAGATATTTTCAAATCGAATTACAGTTTTTTCATATATTTCAAAATATGGTTTATACTCATCACTATTTCAAAATTATAGTTGCTATTAGGCCTATTGCCAGATCTTGATATTTAATTCGTTAATAAGAAAGCACTATTACTACATCAAAAATTTGTTTTAAAAAAATATTTGATAACTACATTTTAATAAAGTTGGTTTCCTTTGAAAGCCTATGTTATTTTATTTTGTGCATTTAAGAATATTATTCTGAGAAAGGGTCCATAGGCTTCACCAGAAGACAAAGTGGGCTATGGTATATACTCACATAAAAGTTAAAAGCCCCTGATGTGGGCCCACCCTGCAGTATTTTGGGAGATACTCATATTTTTTAAATGGATACTTCTTTTTTTAAGGACTATTTTCTAGTTACATCAGAAAGTTGAATGCTGACCTGGTTATTTAACTTAAGTGAAATTCGATTTCCCACCATCATTGGATGGTGAACAATCTACCACTCTCCAGTTGAACACTTCTAACAGTCTATTAGCAGAAAAATCTTTCCCCCAACAGGTATCTACATTGTTTAACTTAACTGAAAAACAGCCTTGAGTCCTCTGCATGTTTTTCTTCATACTCATGTATACGCTCCACAATCAGGCAATGTTCTAAGAGCAATGGTTAAGGAATAAAGGTATTTTGGCTAGAAAAGAGGCTGGCAGTGGAGGGCTGGAGGGCTGTGGGGGAGAGGATACAGGACCACTGTCTTGCTTTCATGAAGGGTGGCCCTTACATTCCTGCATGCAGCTCTGGAAGCCCAACAAGGACACAAGGCTCAAAATCAGGATGGCCAGGGAATGACCAGATAGACTCTGTTCAATTTTTGCAGCCCACTTCTCCCCCTCATCACCTTTCCTCTTGTGGTCCTGGTTCTTCATGCTGGTTCCCCTCCCCACTATCAAAGTGTGCTCTGACAGAGAGAGGATTGTGGTGTGGATGGACTGGCAGACACAACAGAGGGGCTGGTTAAGTAGTGCTGACTAGGGCATTGCAGGACCCAACCCTGTACTTCCCCAAGTCTGTTTCCTCAGCTGTAGAATGAGCATAATGCTATCTGCTCTCGTTAGCATGGACTAAATGAGATGGTAGTGAGAAAACATTTATGGTTCAAGGTCACAATGATTATCAACCTACTTACTATAAGGTATAGGCAACAGATAAAGCTTCAAGGTGGCTTTTCCCAGCAGACTTTGTATTTAAATTGGGGATTGAGTCTAGCTTCTTTTCCAGTGGTGAGCTCTCTTTCACCAGGAGAGGAGAAACAACACAGGGTCAGAGTCAGACAGACTGAATCCAACTCTTCCCTGCCTTATGTCGGGCCTTGGGCAAGACAGTTCAATTCTCTGAGACTCAGTTTATCATCTGTTAAGTGGGGATAATAACACGTATATTCCCAGTGCCGTTGTGAAGATTCAATAAAATCCTGTGTGAAGAGCACTCAGCCCAGAGCTTTGGGGAGAAATACTCTAAAAATGTTTATTGATGAATATGATCACAATCATTTAGGATTCAAATTCTGAGTGCATGAATAGGCCATGAGTAATTAGGGCAGGCTGGGCAGATCCAGGGGCTAGCATGATAAGGGGACTGAAGGATACCGGAGCCCCCCACCCCTCACCAACCACCACCACCACCACCACCACCACAGGGCTTCCTACTGACAGGGAGGAGGTTCCTCTGTGTTATTCCTAGGAGCGAAGGAGCGAGAGCACTTGATCTCCTGATGGCCTGCCCCTGTGGGCCTGACTCCAGACTGCAGGGTCAGTCGGCCAGGCCAAGCCCTCTTGGGTTCTGCATCCTCCCTAGGTCCCCTGGGTTTAGGAGGCCGGCAGGCCGCTAGGCCCGATGCTCAGCTGTCTGGAGCTGGCTCTCTAGGCCAGGCCTGGAGACCTATGAGGGAGGGCTCAGCCCAGTGTCTCCCTCCTGCCCAGATGGCTCTTCAGAAAATAAGCAAGGCTGAAACTGATAGAGATGGAGGAGAGTAGGAACCAGGACCCAAAATGAGAAGCTAAAACTGAGAGGGGAAGGGGCACTCACGCAGGGCAGGCAAAGTGGAGAGCTTCAGCTCTCCTCAGAGCTGACTCCAGGTCCCCAGGGGCTGCGTCTCACACTTTTGAGCCCCTGCAGGCCTGTCCTTTCTTCTGCCCTCCACCCTCGCAGAAGCCTGCAGCTCTCCCCCATCTCATATCCACATGCGGCTGGTGCTACCCAGAATGAACTTCCCCTCCACACACCACCAGAACTGGAGCTGCACACCAGAAGGACTGGACTGGACTGGGGGATGGGGGTGGTGGTAAGAGTGGTGGGGGGTAGTGGCAAGTTGGATGGACACTCAGGAGTCACCCTTGTATTTGCTAACAGAGGGCCGTATTCACTGCCTCTGACCAGGAGGTTTCAAGCATTGTTTTTAAAGCTGCGACCACTCATAAATCGCATTCCAGACTTTACTGCCTAAACTATTATCCATTTAATATATATCTTTAAATCAGCACCTTTCAAAACAGCCTAGTCCCAAGCAATAATATCTGTGAAATCACGAGTTTGATGAGCTGATCTATTTTTTTCCTGATTTACATTTGTATCGATATGTTATTTAAAAAAACAGTTTACCCACATATCATCTAAACTCACCTTATAAACCATGTATTTAAATTCGTCCTGTGGCCCATGTTTTGGGAAACTATTTAGTGGAAAGACAAAGATTTTGGGATCATACGACACAGGTTCTACCATTTCCTAGCTGTGTAACCTTGAGGAAGTCACTTAACCTCTCTGGGCTTCAGTTTCCTCATTTGTAAAATGGTGATCCTCCCTCCCACAGCTGTCGTGGGCATGGAGCACAGCCATGGTAGCTTTCCTTCTCCTCCTGGAATCCTGCTGGCTTCCCTGCAAATTAACATAGGCAGGAAGTCTGGTCTCTAGCTGTCTTCCTAACCGCATTCTACTGCATTCCAGGGTATCCTACACTAAAGGCATGCCTAGGAAGAGGTGAGTGTTCCTCTGACATCTGTCCTGGAGTCTACGAATCCCAGGGAACTGCTTCCTGGCATCCACCCCAGGACACCGTGCTGCAATGTCAGCTCCTGTTCTTATGTTCCACCCTCCGTGAAAATGAGAATTAGCGATGCTCCTTCACAGGGGTGGGAGGCAGCTTGAAGATGTGGAAAGGCTTGTGGGAAGCTGGGTTCAAACCTGGCATGCCACTGTCTCACTGTGTGCCTTGAGCAAGTCACTGGTCCTCTCTGCACGTGGGTTTTCTCGTCTGTACAATGAAGGGCCAGCTTTGACTGTGAACCCAGATTCTCTCCCACTTCCTCTCCCCCACTGCAGATGGGGTGGGTGGAAGGGGCAGAGACTCCTGCCTTTTCCTATTGAGTAATTCGTTTCTCTTCTGGTTGAGGATGTGGGAACTGGGAGGGAGCAGGGCAGGGTGCGGATGGGGGTGGAGAGGAAGTTGTTGATGAGGGTGGGAGACTGGCTGCCATTAAGGCCTTCTCCAATAGACACTTCCTCTTTGTCCCTTCCCCCATACAACTACAAGGAAGGGTGTAGGTATTTTCTAGGATGGTCTGAGGAGGGTTAGATTAACGTGGGGGTGGGTGCATGTCTAGTGGGATATCCAGACTGTGTGCATGGTGTTTCCCTCTGAAGAGTGTATTGCGGATGCTAATCTGGGTCTCCGAAAATGAGAGGTGGGAGGGTTCAGGGATCACCTAGTCTAATCCTCCATGCTGCTTTTACAGAAAGGGAAACTGAGGCCCAGAGACGTGCAGTGACTGGTTTAGGGTTATGCAGTGACTTGGCAGCCAACTGAGACAAGAATCTAGGAGTCCTGCCCTCTGCTCCCATCGTTCCGCCCCGCTCCCACCTCTCCTCCCATAGCTCTGGTGACACCCTCAGGGAGATTTGGGGCATCTATAAAAAATGCTCTAATTGATTCTTAACAGGAAGTGTGGGCTTTTTTGCTCTGAGTTGACAACCACAGCAGCTACACACAACCACAGCAGCTACGCACAACCACAGCAGCTACACACATACACAGATAAGCACTTGTGCCCCCTCCCACACTCACCGTCCCCCAAGTTTGCACACACATAGAGACACTTGCTCATATTCCATGGCATCTAGGCATACAGATGGGACATATCTGTGTACTTCTTCCAATGCTAGGAGATGCCCAATCAGAGGCTCCAACCTTGTACCCTCTAACCTGGTTGGGAGGGCTTTGAGTGCCAGTTTCCATAGTGAAGAGTGGATTTGAAGGGGAGGAGCTCAGACAAGGAGATCAAGCAGGGCTTCAGTGGGTAACAAAGGCTCATACCCCAGGCTGGGCCCCATGGCCAGTGCGCATCAGTCCTAGCCTGAATAGGCTGCTTATAGTTCACAGGGCAGATAACAGAGAAACCACCAATTTTTCACGGGGGCCCAGTGAGGCCAAAGATATGGGGCCTTGGAGAGGTTAACCAACTTGCCCACAATGGCCCAGCATGTAAATGGCAAAGTCTAGATTTGAACTCGGGTCTGTTTGACCAAGAGCCCAGGTTCCTGGTCCCACAGGCACACCTCTTTTCAAGCCAAAGTAGCTGAGCCAGGTAGCAGCAGCTCCCACATCTATAAAATGCCACAGAATTTCTCATGCACGAAACAAAGGAAACCCAGTAATATTACTGGGAGTCTACGTGCGATTGAAGGAAACTTCATGGACAAGTTGGCTGCTTTAAAAATGAATGAGAGTTTATTAGAAAGAAGAGTGGAGGAGACAGGGAAGGGCATTCCTAGCAGACGGAACAGTGTGAGCAAAGGCAGTGCGGAAAGGTGCAAGGGGCAAGGAAAGGCATGGTGGCAATGGAGCAGGGGGTAACTGGTCAGCTAGGTTTGTGGTCAGAGCTCTGGGATGGGGCTGGAGGACTGACATGCAGGTTAGAGGGGTTGGAAGGGCCTTGTCAGGCAAAGGCATTTGGGTGCCAGGATGTCCTGGTAAGGTACTGAAGAAAGGGTGAGACTCCATCAGTCCTGTGCTCCAGAGACTCACTCTGACTCTAGGATGAAGGATGGTAGTGAGTGGATGCGAGGACACGAGGCTGAGTCAGGGGACCAAAGAAGAGCTGTTACAGGTGTCCAGGTAGGGGTCACGGAGCTAGAACCAGGCCTGGAGCAGTGGGATGGAGAGGAGGGTGGGTGGGAGAAGACAGACAGCCTGAGGATAGATCTGGGCAGAGATGATTACGCTGCCACTAGGTGAAGGCTTCTGACACCAACCAGTACCCACTTCCACCCCAGCTCAGGCCACTGGGTTCAGGTCAAAAGGCCTCAGAGAAACCTGGCCCTAGCCCCAGACTCACTGCTATTTCCAGGAGCTGCCCACCCCACCCACTTCCCCTGGGGGGAAGCAGCAGGGACTACTCCCCACTCCCTGCAGGCAGGGCAGGATTTTTTCTTTTTTAACTAGGTAAAGAGCAATCTCTGCAGAGCTGAAGGACAACACTAGCTGCCACTGCTGAGCAGACACTGACTGGTTTCACCAGTAGCGGATGAGGGACCCTGCCCTTACGAAGGGCTGCTGGTGCCTCTGGAAATTAGATGGGGCTCCTGTTACCACCATAATGGATCTGTACAGTTGCTGCTTCAATACCAGGTCTGGGGTGGTCATGCTGATTGGTTAAGACTGGTCACATGCCCAGCCTTGGCTGCAAGGAAGGCCTGGAAAGGGAGTATCTGGCATTCTTAGCCTCAGTAATGGAAGCTGGACTCTTCCTCATGAGTGGAGAATACCCCACACATAGAAAGGGGTTTCAGATGCTGGATGGCCAACAGAAATGACAAATGTCTAATATGCTACCTCAAAGGAATGTTATCTATCGAGAATTAAATGATAAATTCCATGTAAAAATGCTTAGCAAAGCATCTGATATAAAGAATATGCTCAATAAATGTAGCTTTCATTCCATTAAACTGTAAGCTCCCTGCAGGCAGGAAGCAGACCTCTTTTTTGCTCCCTGCTGCATCCCTAGTGTAACTTGGCAAATGTTTGTGGCATAAATGTCTTGTTTCTCAAATCTGTGCTCTGTCTAGCCTTTTCTCATTTCCTTTTTCTCTTTGCCTTAGCTGTTGCCACAGTATTTTCCAAGGAAGAGACATATGCTGGAGCAGACCAAACTCTGTAGCAGGAGTCGGGTGCCCATAACTCAGCTTTACCACCAGCTCACCGTGTGATCTCGGGCAAGTCACCTCCCCTTCCTGCAAAGTGGGTACAATAACCTCAGTTGCTCTGCCTCACATCCCTGCCCCACAACCCAAATGAGAAAATGTGAGACGCTGATTGCAAAGTAGCAAAAAGCCTTCTGCACCAAAGTCTGGGAGGAAGCAGCTGTTGAAGCCATCCACTGAGAAGTGTTAGACTCCGCAGAGAATTTGCTTTTGAAGAGGGGCCTCTGGGGGAACTGTGTGGGGAAATAGCCTTCCTCTTCCCACAGTGGAAAGGACTGCTGTTCATGTATCTGTGAAATGAAGCTATTTTTATGTAGCATAACTGCGATTATGACAGGGCCTCATTCTGAAGGGGAAGGGCGAGGAGTAGACCTGAGCCGCCCAAGCTGAGATAAGGCTGCCCATGGATATCAGACCTATTCCCCCAAATGACTCCAGGTCTTGCCTTCCTCCAATAGAGGGCCCAAAATGGGCAGTGGGGCAGACAACCTGCTCCAGAAAGAAATAGGTCAGTCATTGGTCTTGGGGCCTGTCAATCATCATTGATCTTCCAATTAGCTGTGGGCTGGTAGTGTCCCTGTGAAGAAATCTGAGAATCCACTGAAAAGAGCTGGAATACAGGGATGAAAAGGGTGCCGGACACGCCCTTCCTGCTCCTTGCAAGGTTGGCTGGCTGGAATTGAAGTTTCCACCAGGGATTATCAGGCATGGACGTGTGCCCACACTGTGTTTAGGGGCTTTATATGTGTCCCCTTTTATTGAATTCTTCCAACACCCTCCTCCTTAGGTAGAGGTGATCTGCCTCCATTTTATAGATAAGGGCACTGAGGCTCCTTGGGGATGTGACTGACTCAGCTCTAAAGACTCCTGACTATGAGTCCTGGGCCGAGGGCGCCAACAGGAAGGGTGATTATTTTCTTTACTGGAAGGACAGAGAAAGCTTTCCCAGAGAAGGTGACATTTGAGCTGGGCCCTAAACAATAAGCAGGATTTAGCTGTCTTGCGGGGCAGGGAGAGGAGAGAAGGAAGGGCATGTGATCAGAAGGGATATAGCATGGGCAAAGGCATGGAGGTGTGACTGTGTATGACTTGTTTGGGGGTATCGGGTAACTCGAGGTGGCTGGGGAGTGGCAGGGGTGATGGGGGCTTTAGAGGAGGGCCTTATATGCCATGTTAAGGGGTTTGGGTTCCTTGGGGTTCTTGTAGAGCTATGCAGGCAGGCCCTAGGCATCCTCCTGGAAGTGCAGTCTCACAGAGAGAGGGGAGGGGAGCCCACAGTGGCAGGAAGGACAGGGGGTGGCATGTCAGGCCCAGAGGAAGTGAGGTAGGTTTCCTGCCCTGGAACCTGAGCTCAGGCAGTGGCGGCCTCACAGTGCTGCTGTGCTGCACAGGCCCAGCCTTCATCAGAGCTTTAGGTCCCAGGTTGCCCGAGTTCTGCAAGTCCCCTTTCCTCTGTTCTTTTCTGAGCTCATCCTGTGTGCCAGACTTTGCATACAGTATTCCCTTTAATCCTCACCGACACTTGCCAGGTAAGTATTATTACCCCATTTTATGGGGGAGGAAACTGAGGTTTAGAGAGGTTGGGGGATCTGCCCTAGTTTGCACAGCCCCTCTGGGTGAACTCATGGGATCCCCATCATCATCTTTCAACAAAAGAATCCTCTGTGAGCCCTACTGTTAGTCAGAGGACTGGTAACCTCCTTCCTTCAGAATAAAGAGGACTCTGAGGCTGACCCCAACTTGTCTGTCTCTGCACCGTCAGCACAGACTCGGATATAACTCTGGAGAGCCCCTTAGAGGTCATTTTGTCCATTCCATTTAGTCCTCATATATTACAGATGGAGAAAATGAGACCCGCAAGTGGCCCTAGAGGCGAGAGCCCAGCCTTTTTTGAACTAGAGTCTCTCACTGGTTCTAGCCCAGCTAAGAAGTTGAGTGATGAGGGATAAATCAGTTAGGGTGCAAGGCCTGAGGGGAAGGTGGCTTGTGTGATACAGGCTGGTGTGGGGCTTCTATGGGATCATAGCCAAAATGTACTCAGCTGCTTCATCCCACTCAGAGGACTTCAGACAATTTAGGAAAAGATGTCCACTCACAGGACACTTTATGCCATCTGCCTGAAAAGTATGCTATTAACTATGCAAATTTTGGACGTGGTTCTATAGTATAGCGGTTAGCACATCTGCTTTACATGCAGAAGGTCCTGGGTTTGCGCCCCAATGGAGCCATGGTCCATGGTCTACGGCCATGCCACTCTGAACAAGCTCGATGTCTGATCTTGGAAGCTAAGCAGGGTCGAGCCTAGTTAGTACTTGGATGGCAGACCACCTAGGAAGACCAGGTGCTGTAGGCATAAAAAAACGAACAAACAAAAAAAACTATGCAAATTTTGCTGACATCAAGGTGACTACATCCCCTAGGGTTGTGCAGTGCACAGTTTGCACAACTGTGAGTGGCTGGCCACCCAGCCCTGAAAATGGAGGGAGGTCTCTGGCAACTCTCCCCACTTCTCTATCCCCTTCTTCTTCCCCTAACCCCTTCCTACAGAGCCAGGGATCAGAGGGCATTTCCTACCAGGGTGGGAGAGGAAAAGAAGGGTAAAGACAAAGAAGGAGGAAGGAGAGTGTGGAGGGCAATAAGAGTAGGTTCATTTCTGCTCTTAGAAACTGAAACCAAAAGTCGCGGCAGAAGTCGATGTGAAATCAGGTTTGTGGCAAGACACTAAGGTTGTAAAGCTGTACTGAAGGAGCAAAGCCTCTGTATCTGAGGCGAGGGTAGCAGCCCTGGTCAGAGACACCCTAGCTGCAACCCTGGTGTTACCTAGACCAGGACTTGCCCTTCATGCTGACAGGAAGTGCGCAAGGTGAGAGACTGTTTTCTGAGGATTCAAAAAGCCTTTCTAGACATTATGGTACCCAGCACTGGGGTTAGGATCATTGCTGGAAGGGATGGGGGTGCTCGCTCAAGCTACAGAGTCACCTAATGGTCCAAGAGAGGGTGACCTAAGCCTGGACTGGTGTTAATGTCTATGTGGACACGCACATGCCCATGAAATGGGGCAGCTGGCATCTATGTGCCTGGCATAATGGGAACATTATTTCTCCACGCTGAGCTCAAGATATGTAAAATAATGTGGATTTTTGTGACCCATCTGGCTCTGAAGTTCATTTAGGTGCCACAATACTGGATTCTTTAGGGGCTCTTGATGCTTTATTCTAACAATGGAACCGTGTTTGAAACTTGGACTGTCTTTAAAAATTCAGATTGTGTTGTCACCATTTCTTGTGACCTGTATGATTCAATGAACCAGTCATAGACAAGGAACTCTGGTGTCACCCTGTCCATGCAGGTTTCCTGGATCCTCTATATAGGGAGGGATGCTGAGCTGCACGGCTCCCAGCTCCAGAATGGGCAGCCCCTTGAGGGCTCATTCTGTGTTTAAATCATCTTTGTATCTCCCATGATGCAGGAGCTTCCCTCCCCTTAGGGATTCTAAGAGTGTAAGCTCCTGGCTTTTCCATTTGTGTGCTGACATCTACTCTGTGCTGGCCTCCCACAGTCTGGGAAGAAGAGGGAGGGTAGACTGATGGGTCAGGGCACAGGGGAACCTGGTTTCACCATTCTCTGCTCTGTGGCCTTGAACAAGTTCCATTCCTCTCTGAGCCTCAGTTTCTCTGTATGGAGATGAGGATGATTTAAATAGCTGATTTTTATTGAGCGGTAACTATGGGTCAAGCACTGTGCTACGTGTATTGCATGTCGTAACTTATTCAGAAAGTACTTCCAAGGGCCTCCAATGTGCAAGGGATACTATGAGGTCTGCTGAGGAAATGGAAGCTTGGAGAATTTAGGTGACTGCCCAAGGTCACATGCAGGTGAGTGGCAGAGTTTGTACTCCAGAACCCCACCCTATGACCAGCCCTTGGTACTGGATGGACCCTAGCAGGCCTGTGGAGAGGTCAGCATGGAGCCGACTTGGGGTGAGGGATGGGGATAAGTGCTCTATGGTGATGCTGTTATCAATGGCCAGGTCTGGCTGGCCCAGAAGGAGCTTGTAGCCTGAATTCAGGGTCTAGGGCAGTGAGAATCCAGCCAGGTGACCCCACAGGGTGCTGTGGAAGGAGGCCCTCCAAACTGGGATTCTGAAAGACCATATCCAGCAGAAAAGGCAAAGGCTGTCTAGGGCCCTGAGGAAGGGTGCTGGGCTGCCCCTGAGCAGGCTCCTCACTTGTGGCCTCAGATGCCCACAGAGGCTGAGAGGGTAACAGAAGAGAAAGCAGGTCATATTCAGGTCTGTCTGACCCAAAGAACCAGGCTGAAGACAGTGTGGGTCTGGGAGTGCCCCAGAAAACAGGTCACTGATATGGTAGCGGTCAACTCACTGGGGCTGCTTCTGGGGAAGCTGGCTTAGCCTCCCTTCCCAGTGCCCCAGGGCTGAATTCACTCCTGACCCTGGACCAGGGACCAGCAGATAGATGGTCCAAGCAGAGGGGAATGTGACTTATTTGAGGAACCTCCTGGCAGAGGCTGGCAGACCTCTAGGCCAGCCAGAGAAGAGACAGGTCTGCAGAGCACAGTCCCAGAGGCTGGACACACACACATACACATGCAGCACCAGAGGGACAGAATCTGAGGGCCAGACTGGGTGGGTGCAGGGAAGCCAATAGAAACCTAGTATCCCTGCCAAATCCAACAGGCCAGAGTCCTGGAGACACTCTTGCCTTCTTTCCCTCATACCCTACATCCAATCCATCAGCAAGTCCTGTAGGCTCATTCCTTTCCCACTGCCCGCTGAGCCATCACTTCACTGTCACCTGCGATACTGCAGTAGCCCCTTTGCTGGCCCCCATAGTCCATTCTTAACACAGTAGCCAGAATGGTCCTGTTAAGTATCATGTTACTCCTTAATAGAAGCCCTCCAGCAGCCCCCACTTCACTCAGAGCAAAAGCCATGCCCCACCTCTCAGCACACCCCTCTTTGATACCGTTTCCTACCCCTCTCCCAGTCCCTCACTCTGCTCTAGCCACTGGGCTTGTTTGCTTTTCTTCAAACAAGGCAGGCCTACTCTCCCATCTCCAGGCCTTTGCACTGTTGGTTCCTTCTGCCCAGAACTAGAATACTATTCCTTGGATAGCCACATGGCCTGATCATCAGCCTGCTCAGATGTTACTGTATTTCTCAGCATTCTGCAGAAAACGGCACTCAAATTAGGATTATTTGAGAACTTTTTGCAAAGGTGTAAATAGGATGTTAGGACAGTGCAGTGCCTGCCCAGGAGCACAGGTACCTTTGCTACTACTAGGCCTGAGGGGAAGGGAAAGAAGTGGCTGCTGGAGCCAGGAAGGAGAGAACTGTGGGAGAGGCCACTTGACAGGAGCAGGGACCAGCAGGGAGGGAGCCAGGGGCATAAACACCTTCCTTGCCTTCCTGGTTCTCCGGAGTGGGTTCCACATTGGTGAACCAGGCTGGAAGGCCCATAGAAGTATCCTTACCATTAGCCACTCCCACCCTCAACTCCCACGCTTTCCCTAAGCGTATTTTCCCATGGCACTTATCTCGTAACATATTTACCTATTCACTATGTGGGGTTTTGTTTTTGTTTTTGTTTTTGTTTTTGTTTATCGTCTGTAAACTCCAGGAAGCATGGATTTTGGTTTCTTTTATTCTCTATTACATCCCAAGAACACTGACTGGCATGTAGCAGACACTCAGTAAATAATCCTTGAATAAATGAGTGCCCACTCATTCTCCATGGGCACTTCTAGGCCCCCGCCTGGGGGAGGAATGGGTGGATGCTGCTGTCTGAGGCTCCAGGACTGAAGAGAAGCCAGCAGGACCCAGCTGAGGAGGGAAGGCAAGGCTGTGCCCATAGCAGCACCCCAAACCTGAGGCTCCTGGAGCAGATCCCTGCCTCGCCCCTAGGTTGTGATGTTGAGACCAGAGGATTGTCCTTGGCCTTAACTACGTTTGGTCTTCTAAACAAGGTGCTGCTCTGTGAAGTCTCCTACCTCATGAATCAGCTCTTTGAGGGCACATCTGGCTCCTTTCCTGGTCCTCCAAGGAATGTTTCCTTCAAGGAGGCCTGAACTTACCCTGCAGTGAAGGTCTAAGAGTTATAGGCTAGGGGCTATGTTCTAAGCCTCCCTCGGCCAGGTCTTGGGTTCCCAGGGGACAGGGTTGTGCGGGGCCTACCTGATCACAGGGCTGCCCTCGCTAGGCTCTTAGGCTCCCTCCCCAACAGATGCCCAGGGTGCTGGGGCCTCCCTGAGATGGCATGCCACCCCTCAATAAGCCTCGATGGCATACAGAAGAGAAGACTCAGAACAAGGTGATGTTCAGTCCAGCCCTCCAATTGCAAAATTGTGTATTTTCTCTAAGGGGTTTATCAGCTGGAAGCTATTTCAATCCAAATACCAATAGGATTGGGGAGGGAGCCTCAGAAAATGAGATTAATCTTCCTCTGGAAAAATAAACATTTGAAAACAACAGGAAAATTCTGAAAAAGAAAAAGAACATCCCACACAAAACCCAGAGGTCTTAAAGTAAAAGGTTGATAATTTGAACCTGTAAAAGTGAAAACCTGAATGAAGAAAATTATCAAAGAACAAAAGATCACACACTGGAAAAATGCTTTGTAACATAATGTCAGATAAGGGGCTAATCTCCTTAATATACACATTTTAGAAATCAATATAAAAAAAGCAACCAAATTTAAAAATAGGCAAAGTATATAAACAGACAATTACAAGGAAAGAAAAATTTTAAATGAATAGAAATCACATGAAAAGATGATCAACTTCACTCATAATTAAAGAAATGCATAACAAAATAACAATGAAATAACATTTCCAATTGCCAAATTATTACCTATTAAAATGTTTTACAATGTATAGTGCTGGTGAAAGCCTAGGGAAATACAAACTCTTATTTTGTTGGTGGGAATATAAATTGACCAACATTTTGCAAGACAATTTGGAAATGGTTAGTGTGTCAGAGTAAAGGTGGCCACACATTCTTTGACAGTCCTCCCACGGGGAGGTAGGGGTCTATGAACCCTTCCCTTGAATTTGGGTTGGCCTGCGAGTTCTCTGACCAATAAAATACAGCAAAAATGATAATGTCCTAGTTCCAAATGTATCCCTTATCTTTCCCAGTGGGTTCTACTTCCTACCTCTTACAAGCCGAGTGGCAGTTTACCTGAACTGTGATTACCTGACATCACCAAACCAGGTGGGGAAGCCCTGCAGAATATGATACCACAAAGAGAGAGAGAGAGGTCACAGAGCACTGAAGCCCAGTCATATGAATGATGAAGCCAGCCTGGAAGAGAATCAGCTGAGCCCTTCCTGAATTCCTGGCTCACAAAATCATAAATAAAATAAATAAAATAAAATGGTAATTTTAAGCACTGAGTTTTGGGGTAATTGATTAAACAGCCATAGGTATCCTAAATAGCAATTCAAATTTAGATTTACCCTTTGACCCAGCAGTTGCATAGATTCTATGAATCTAACCCGCAGAAATATTTGTACAAGTGTACAAAAACATCTGAACAAAGACATTCATTGCAGCATTGTTTGTAAGAGTACAAGACTGGAAACAATCTATCTGTCCATCATTAGGGGAATGGCTAAATTAATTCTAATATATCCAGTTAATGATATATACTGATATACTGCACCTGCTGAAAGCCCGAGACAAGAAAAAGTCCCATTTGTGGTCCTGTGAGCCTAGGGCAACAAAACAGACTAAAGAGTATAGATTCTGGAGCCATAGACCGGCTCTGCCATTTCTGATCTGTGTGACTTTGGAAAAATTGTTTAACCTTTCTACCACAATATCCTCATCTGAAAAATGGAGGTGATAATCACAGTACCTACTTCAGATGGCTGTGGTGAGAAATAAACTAATTAAAGTGACAAGCCTGGCATGTATTTATGCTATATATATTTTGAAGATGCAAAGAGCTTGAAATTTAAATTGGGTTGGACCAGACTTTTAATATCGGAAAGGGATTTCATAGCAGAGGATCTGCCAGATTGACTTCCTGGGTGGGAGAAGGAAGAGAACTTTGACAAATAAAGTTTTGAAAGCACTGGTGAGAGAATGTTTTTAAAGAAAAGGACTTAAACCGTACATCCTGTTCTGCATCTTGCTATCTTTTAGAGATTCTTCCTACCTCAGCACTTAGACCCATTCAGTTCTTTTTAACAATTGCTGGTCATCGCATTGTATGGCTGCACCTCAGTTGATTTCACCATCCTCTCTTGGTAGACTCTTGGGTTGGTTTCAGTTCTTTGCCATAGTTACAAACAATACTGCAGTAAACATCCTTGCACATTTATCTTTGCCTCATCACTGCTATTATTTCTGTGGTGTAGATTCTTAGGAATGGAGTTGTTGAGCATAAAGTATATGTATAATTTTTTAAACGTTTGATGTTTCAACATATAGTCCCATTTTCTTCTCTACTGCTTTTGTTTTTATAACTTTGCTGTCTATTTTCACATTTTTTTTTAAGGTGAACTTCACTATCATTTTGCCAAGTATTATCAGGCCTTGTTTTGAATGACTACAAGGATGAATCAGCCACCATACCTGCCCTGAAATGTTCACAGTCTGGCAGAGATTGGAGTGGGGATAATGGTGTAGTGGGAGCGGGGTGGTGACAAATGCAAAACAAACCCATCCAGGCCGGGGCTGGCACTGAAGGCTGGATCATGGGCTCTGGGAGCCCCAAGGTAAGAGTAACATTTGGGGTCTGGGGCAATCAGGGAGGCCTCCACAGAGGTTTCCTGCCTAGCCTTTGCACTAGTTACAGAGCCCTCTTTAGGACACCAGCTCATTGAATTCTCACAATAGCCCTTTGCATTAGGTAGTGTTATTTTCTCCACCTTTCAGATGAGGAAACAGGCATGAAGAATGAAGGTCTTGCCCAGCTCCAACCTCTCAGTTTTAACTTCCCCTTTCTCTTTCTCTTTCTCTTTGTTATGCTTCCTTTATCATTCACCCCTCTGCCTCCGCCCCACACCTCCTGCTAGGTTGGCAGAACCCTGGGCAGTAACCCTGGGCTCCTATACACTCGGGTACCTGCTGGGCAACCTGCTTACAGAGGTCTGGAACCCAGACCCCATGTGCCCAGGTGAACTGGACCCTGCCTCTGCTCCCGGTCCCAGACCACACAAAGTTGCTTCACTTCCCAACCCATGAATGCCAGGTCATGCCATCCCTTCTCCCCGCAAACACCTCTCTCGGAAATTAGACTTTTAGAAGTTCTTTTGGGTTAAGCATTTACCCGTTCTGAAGTTTAAAAAAATGTACATTTCTCTAACAGGAACCCATAACCAATTGCTAAACTTTCAGTGTGAAGAGTTATTCTGCCTTTTCCCTCTGGTTTTAAAAGGCCTGAGGCTCTCTCAGAGTTCCTTAGTGAAGGGGAAAGTAAGGAGTGTGGGAATTAAACTGGCAGTTAACCTCATATTTACTTACATTCCCGCGACAACTCTTCCTCCCTCACCCCGCCCTCATGGGCCGAGTCCTTAGCCTGGTATTCAAGGATCTCCCCCGGCAATTTTGGGAAATGCCTCAGTAAACAGACGCAGGAAAGCCTCAGAAAACAGAAGCCGGGTGGAGGGCCCAGCGGGAGAGAGTCAGAGCGGGCGGGCACCCCGCTTCTCCCTGGGGGGCCTCCTTCTTCACCCGCGGACTTAGCCAACTTCAGATCAGACTACAGCCAGCTCTCCCCAGCCTCTCTTTTCTCGCGCCCTCTGGCCTAGGTCACGCTCATGTCGGCCATGGGGACATATTACGTGTACGCACACCCGCGGAAATTATGGTATTTAGGGGGTAGCTCTTCGCCGGCTCCGACTCCCCCACGTGTCGATAACGGGAACTGCAGTCGGGCCAAGCCGGCTCCTCCCACTCCCGGCAGAGTTCCGAGAGAAGGCTCAGCCTGGAGAAGCTGAGCGCCCACCCACGCACTCTATGACCCTCTCGTCTGGCTCCTATACACTCGGGACCTGCTTGGGCTGTTTTTGAGGCTTTCCCCCAAATCGCTTTCCTTCCGGGCGAGAGAGTTGCCCCCTAGAATCGGGTGCCCCAGCGGACACTGGTCCGAGAGACGTCCTTAGCCCCCTCTGCTGGCACAGCCCCGCCCAAGGGCCCAGGACGCAGCAGTGCTGGGGGACCACTGAGTTCGCTTTGGAGAGAGGCACATCTGGATTCCACTCTCAACTCTCACCTGCTTGCAGCAATGTGCCCCAGGGCGAGTCATTGACCTCTCTGAACTTCGCTTGCCTTCTCTGTAAAATGGAGCTTAGATTTATTGGCACTTGCCTCACAGGGTTGTCAAAATGATTAAACAGGGTAATACAGGTGGCAGGTATACTGGAGAAGGATAATAATCACCACCGTAATGGGGCACTCATTGTGTGCCTGGGAATGCCTTAGGTATTTTGAAATGACTCTATAAAAATATCATCCACAGATGAAGAAATTGAGGAAAGAAATTGAGATTTAGTGATTTGCCCATAGTCACACAGCTAGAGAGTAGCAGAGCTGGGCTTGGACTCAGGAAGACATGGGTACACAAGTGCTGGGAAGTGTGGGTGGGGGTCCAAGGTTTGAGAGTTTAAGGGGTGCCCAGAGGCCTGAAAAATGATCCAGCCAGCCCTGTCTCCCTTTGGGTCATTAATCAATGCTTTCTCCCTCTAATTATTTACACCCTCTAGTGTGTACATGGGCAGAGACCCAAAAGACCCTCCGGGGCTATTTTGCTGTGAAGAGAGGGAGAGACTAGTCCAGGGTCGCACAGCTGGGCAGCTCAGAAGTGGACTGGAGCCTTAGTTTTAGTCCTGCTGCTCCCCCCACTCCCACCTCCCCTCTTTGGGTGGGCAACTCTGCAGGGTGATGCTCCGTCCTATTAACAATCAAACTACCTACTTAGTACAGGCACCTCTCCAGGGGCTGTCCACCTGCTACTCCTGACCCCACTTGGCCAGAAACTTCTGCCACCTGCCCTGCCCCCCGCCTTCTCCCCCACCATTTCCTCCAGGCACACCAGGCTTCTCTCCCCTCACAGTGCTGATGCTCTAAGCAGAGAGAAGACCAGTACAGCCTCTGGTTCCCAAATGCTGGCACAAGACCAACAAATATTTTACCACTGTGTACGTGTGTGTGTGTGTGGTGGGGAGGTGCTCAGAGACTGAGTTGTCTTTGCTAGCGATTTATTTAGCACAAGTTTGCTGTGGGAATTATCATTTCATAAGCCAATAGCATACAGGATAATATCTCTTAATAAGCCAAATACAGAAATACTATACTCCAAACAAATGACACATTAATCACTTGGTTGTTCCAGGCAAGGGAAGATAAAGGAATAAAGCCTAAATTTAATATGAAGTGTACCTTTTTACATGAGAAGGCACTGGATAGACCAACCAAAGGACTGATTTCCAGATGCCTGGCACAAAAAGTTAAAGTTCTCTTGCTAGAGCATGTTGCTAGGGAACGAAGTTGCCAGTGTTGGTCTGCGGGCTGATCTCTTTCACTGGGCAGCTGTGCAGTTTACCATTACTGTCTATAAGGATTGCCTCGCCAGGACAGGAGCAAATGCCCCAAGGGTATTCCCAGAGTTTTTAGGTTAGCAAGAGCAGCCTCATCCAAGACTACTCTCAAATAGCCCTCATGATCTGTATTTATAGTGTAAATGTCCCCTTGCCATAACTGCTTTTACACATGCTCTTAATGATGAGCCCTCGGGGGGCCCCCTCACCTACTGGGCTGCTGACTGCTTATCAATAACAGGTGTAGAATAATGACATCCTGGCAAGACTTACTTCATATTTATATCAAAGCAACTTTTTTTTCCCTCTTTGTCATAAACAAGTGGCTTAAAACAACTTCATTTAACTCATAAATGAGTGGATTTGAAATACTATGTGTTTGTGTGTGTATCTTTTGTTAGAAAGGGACTAGCATAATACATAGCAAATGATTTGGCATCTTTGGGTAGATGAATTGTAGCTATTTTACCCCTTGTCTTTATTTAAAATTTTCTTTGTAATGAACAGACATTATTAATAAGACAAGAAATAAAAGTTGTTTTAAAATTCTCAAGAAAAAGGCCAACAATCGTAAAGGAAAACGAGCTAGAGATGAGAACATATTTTTCTCAGAAAAAAATGAAAATAGTTTTAAACATTAAAAAAGATAACTAACTTTGCTTGTAATGATAGAAATGCTAATTAAAATTACATGGAGTTACCATTTCTTACCTATCAGATCGGCGAAAATCCACCTTTGACAGCATGTTCTGTTGAGAAGACTGGGGAAACTGGTACTCTCCTACTTTGCTGAACCTCGCCACCAGTGCTGGGAGCCTTGAACTCCTCCTGAATGACTTCAAGAAGGATCACTGCTGTGTCCATCAGGGCCGGATCACTCACAGACCCTACCGCCAACCCATCAGTTTTACAGATGAGGAGGAAGAGAAGGAGCTGGATTTATGGGTGACAATTCGCTGTGTGTAATTCCCCTCATTACTGCCAGACTGTTTTCCAGAATGGCTGATCCAGGCTACTCCCACCAGCAGTTACCTGGCTGTGACAGCTCCTCATTTCCCACCAACATCCAGCTTCCTAATTTCTGGCAGTCTAGTTGGTATTGTAGCTCGTTCTCATTTTAATTTGTATTTTTCTGATCATGAATAAATATGACCATTTCTTCATATGGTTACAGGCTTGCTGGGGTTTCTGCTCCTTAAGAACCAGCCCAAGTCCTTGGGGTCTGACTATTGGAGCCTGGGGACAGGCTCTCCGAGTTCCAAGGATGGGGCCTGCCAGAGGCCTTGAACGCACTTCTGGGCGCTAGTAGTTGCGACAGCTGGTGGGGTGGGGAGGTTAAGACAAGTTCAGGGGGACCTACGGAGCCCAGAGTGGCCTCGACACGCTAGACTCGGGTGTGAAAGGCGCCGAGTGGTGGCCAGGTCGAGGGAGGCTGAGGAGGGCCCTGCAGTCTGGTCCGCGATCGGAGGAGGAGGCCGCTGAGCTGCGCCCGCATCATACCCAAGTGCGGAGGCGGGCGCAAGGGATCTGGAGGACGGCTGCCGCCCGCACCTTGACACTCCCCCGACGCAGCCCCGCGCCCCCTCCCCTTCGCTTCCCTGGCCTCGCCCCGGCGGACGCGCAGCTGGCCGGCTGGCGCCCGGGCAGAGCGCGCGCGGAGGCTGCGGAGCTGAGGCATGGAGCAGCAGCTGCAGGGCGAAGCCAACCACCGTGAGTCCGCGGTGCCGCGGGGTCCGGGTGCGGGTGCGGGTGCGGGTGTGGGTGCGGGCAAAGGCCGAGAACAACCCCCATGCCACTGCGGGGGCAACCAAGGCTACGATTGGCGAGATCCGCGTGGCCACCTCCGTCTTGGGCTTCTTTGTGGTGCTGAAAGGAACACGGGCCGGGCCGGTGGGACATTGCCGGCGCGCCTGGGACTCGGGCGCGCCAGCTGCCTGGGAGAGCAGGGAGCTGCTGCGGCGGAGACATTAGCTAGAAATAAGATGGTATTTAATGCAGTCCTTTACTGAGTACTTTGTGTGCCAGGCCGAGCCAGGACAGGTACGTTATTTGATCTTCCCGGCGGCCCTATGAGTAGAACCTATTGCTATCTTCATTTTTGCAGAACAGAAAGCTGAGGCACAGGGTGGTTAATTAAGTCACACAGCCATTAAGTGGTAGAACTGCTGAAGGCCCCAGTTCCCAGCATGTCGGTGGTGGATGGAGAGTGGAGACCATATCATTTGGGAAACTGAAACCCAGAGGAGAGGAGTTATTGTGTGCTGCAGATGGGATGAGGGATCTTCAGAGCTTCTCTCAAGGAATGTGCCCAGTGCCAGAGCCTCCAGGCTGGGCGGCAGCATCCATGTGGACTTCAGCTGACCTTGGGGGCTTTGGCAGGAAGAGGAGAGAGAGAATGGCACCAGTGACCTCACTGGAATGGGAGTTGGGTTGGGGGGGGCGGCGGTCTCTGTCAAGGTGCTCTTTCAAAGGGTACAGGGTTCTGCCTAGGGCAGAGGATCCCTGTGATCAGGCCCTTAAGGAATGTGCAGCAAGGAGCCTTGTGGTGTGTGGGAGAGAATTCTGGGCAGAGGATCTAGCCTTGGCAAAGGCTCAGAGGCCGGAGTGCAGTGTGTATTTGATGTGACCAGAAAGAGGATATATGAGTTGAGGTGGGTGGAAGAGATGAGACTGGACTTGATTTTATTGGCACCATGCAGTGTCTGCTTCCCTCCATTCGGACTCCTGGCAGTTTGCCATCACAAAACAGATCATTCCCCCTGGGCTTCGGCTAAGAGACGGGAGTCAGAGCTGGAAGGGATATCTTCAGGTCACTTTCTTCAGTTTTACAACTGAAGAATCCGAGACCCCCCAAAGGGGACATGACTAGCCCAGTATCCTGCTGCTAGAAAGTGGCAGAGTGGGTACTCGAACCCCAGCTTCTTTAAGCTCGTACCTGAAGTGCCAGCTCTTTATGCAGACTTGGATCATGGTGGTTTTCAGCCAAGAGCTAAGGAAAGAAAAGCTCAGGACACAGTGCTTTCCAGAGATCTGAGAGGAACTCTTCTAGAAGGGCCCTCTCCTCACCTACAGGAAAAGCAGACCCCTTTGGGGGTGGGGAAGGATGGAGCTATCAGTGAGGACCACAGCTGGAGGGTGATATTTTCCTTTTCCCTGAAGCGTTGATATGAAGCTGCCTTCCCCTGAGGGCCTCTTTTCTGCCATTTACCTGAGCTTGTGGCTTGGTTTTCCATGGGGCTAATGAGTCTTAATCTGGGCAGCATCTTTTAGTTCAAAGGCCCCTGAAGAGTTTTAGAGATTTGTGTGTCACTCGTTCATTTAACAAATATATGCCAGTGCCTGAATTTGAGGATACAGCAGTTAACAAATCAGACAAATATCTCTCCCTTCATGAACTTGTATTATAAGTTCATGGGGGAAGCAAACTATAAACCTAATAAATATGTGAATATAGCACATGCCGATGGTGAGAGATGCTCTGGAGAAAAACAATGCAGGGAGGCAGGTAGGAAGGGTGCCTTCCTTGGTTGGGGCTCCACTGGCTCAGTGGGCCCTGAATAAAAGAGGCCCCACCACTTCCAGGTCTTTGGCCACCAGAATTTATTCTGTGACCCTTTGTCTTGGAGGAATAATAGTGATGATGATGATGGCATTACTTGCCAGACAACATGCTAGGGGCTTTTTGTATCTTATATTTAATCATTACAATAACCTTGCAGGGCAGCTCACATCCCTATTTGGCAGATAAGGAAACTGAGGCACATGATAATTAAGTCATATGGCCAGGAGGTGGCTCAGCCAGAGCTGATTGCCCTGGGGCAGCAGCTCTGAGGTTCCCAGGTTGTATCTGTGAGGCCCCAGAAAGTCCAAGACCCTCTCCCACATCTGGAAAGCGATGTGGAACTTATCAGGAAAACAAAGTGATAGCAGGCCTGTCTGTCACCTCAATACATCCCAGCCTTCCCTGCCCAGACACTGGCCACCTGTCCCAGGATACACAGAGGGGCTGCATCTGGGCATTCACGCTGGACCAAACATGCAGGATGTGGTTTAGCAGCAAGAAAACCACAAGATTACTTGTCCTGTAATGACTGTGCAAAGGGCCAGGAAATATTTATCCCTTGTGCTACTGTGTCTAAGTCTTTTTGGAAGAGGGACAGGCATCTATTAATCTGGGGATCGTTAGTGTCACTCATAGAAGGAGAGTTTTGTGGATTTCTCCCTGTGCCTAGCTTTGGGTCTGCTGTGCGAGCTGCACAGCAGTGTGGATTGGGAAGGATGAGATGTGGTACCTGTGCCTAGCTTTGGGTCTGCTGTGCGAGCTGCATGTGTGGATCGGGAAGGGTGAGGTGTGGTGAAGGCCCCCAGGGCTGGACTTGAGGTCCAGCCAAGGAAACCAGACATCCTCTCAAGCTAAGAGCATTCAGGATGATGGCGGCATGGGGGTCACCAGGCCTGAGTCCTCTTGACTTGGCCACTAGCCCTCTGAGCCCACCACCACTCATGGCAGAGGGCCGGCTGGCAGGGGAGTTCTGAGAGTCTCTTTAGCGTGAGGCTGTTGGAGATAAAGGTGTAGTGATGAGGGTGAGAGGAAGGCAGAAAGACCACAGAGAAGGCAGAGCAGAGCAGGCCCCGTAGCTGGGAGAGGAGAGGAGAAGAGGTGGAGGGATGAAGACAAAGAAGCTGGGTGAACATGCCGCTGGCCTCTCCCAGGGTCGGATGGGAGTAGGTGGCTCAGGAGATCCTGGCTGCTTTCTACACAGCACCACAAAAAAAGGTAGTTATCGACTCCAGTGGGAATGAATTCCATTCCCTTCCCAAGAGCAGTTCTTGGGAAGCAGGCATGAAATCTGGATGATGGGGCGCCTCTGAGAGATGGGGGGCACACACCTGGCTCCATGGACGGACTTGCTCATGCTATCCCATCTTCAGGGTTTTGCTGAGTCCTGGCCGTGTGGACGTGGGGTGAGTTAGAAGGAAAAGCAGCCTGTCTGGGGAAGTTTTGACACTGAGAGTGGGGAGAGGCATTCCTCTAGAATATCCCGACCCAGGAAACATTCAGGACCAGGGAGAGACCGTTCACTGTTCCTCGTTATGCACTGCGTGGGACCCTCCCTCTCATCCCACATCCTTTTTTCTCCCCTCAGTGCTTCCTCTGGAGAGGCAGCTCCATGAGGCCACCCGCCGGAATGACATCAGAAGGATGAAGGAGCTGATCGGCAGGAGAGTCAATATCAGGGCCAGAAACCACGTGTGTAAACGGGCTCCTCCAAATCGTCTGGGATAGAGACAGAGCACTGGGGACACCTCTACCCAAGAGGGACAGTTCTTGGAGCCCGCATTTGCATATATTAAATGGGGGAAAACTCAGGTTGTTCACATTGTCTCGAGGTCTCTGAGGTCTTGGCCAAGGTCAGGGTCAGGATTCTGGCCAGGCTTGGGCAATTCCATAGCTCATAGTCTTAACCCCCTGTGACCCATCTGAAAGGCATACCCAGGAACAAAGATTAGAGTCAGGAGGGCAGAGGTCAAAGGTCAGAACTCAGAGGTTAGCAGACAGGCAGATGGGGCAGACACCTGGAGGGGCAAAGATGGGGTGGTGCCTGTGGTCAGAAGTCCAGGGGTTTGAGACCAAGAGAGACCAGACCAAGAGAGGCTGAGCAGAAATGAGGCAGCAGTTTAGCTCAGTTCTCTGAGGGCCAGCTGTACCCACTGAGTGTGTAAAGCTGCTGTGGGCCTCCGCCTGCCACTGGGGCCTCGAAGGCAGGAAGATCAATTCCACTGATGAAACTTTAGGGAAGGCTGCAAATGGGGTACTCTACAGCCCTGCTGGGGAAGGGGACAGAGGGAAAAGCCATTCCTTGTGGTGGCAGACATTGAGGACAGGCCTAGGTACCACCCAAGGTAGCCTCTCCCCGCCTTGGGGCTCTGGCTGTCAGGAGGACCTTAGAGGAGATGCCGGCCTTAGTGCCAGGTCAGTGGAGGCTGAAAGGGTTGGATGCAAGATTCCTGACTACAGTAGAGGCTGCTCTGTCTGGGGTGACACGACAGGGATATAATCTGGGTCTTCAGAGCCCTGGGGCTCATCAATAGTAACAGGAATTCTGGAGTGCATCTGGTGTGTTTTGATTTTCAGAATACTCATCCACTTGTTTTCTGGTGGTCCACACTCACCCATGGAGAGGTGAGGAGGGCAGGCACAGCGGGGGCAGCAAGTCCCCTTAGGTCACCCAGCATGCTATTGGCGACTGGAACCTTGATTCTCAACTCCTGTACAAGCACTAGCAAAGAAGCATGGACTTGTAGGATGATAGGATGCTAATGCCAGACTTATTCATTCATTCATTCATTCATTCATTCAATCAGTAAGCATTTGTTAAGGGCTAGGTGCTAGGGACAGCAGAATCTGTGGCAGACAAG